ATATATATATATATATATATATATATATATATATATATATATACAGTATATATATACAGTATATATATACAGTATATATATAGAATATATTATATAGCGTAAGAGCAATGAAACTCAAATATGTAAGATGTTGACTTTAGAAACACTAATATATATAATATATAAATATATATATATATATAAAATATTATAATTGCTAATAATAATATAATATATTGCTAAGCAATTTTATCTGAAGAGTGTTACTTGCACCATATGTGTGACACAGATTTACACAGTAATAAAATGTCTACTGATGAACCTCGTTTATTTTTATTCTTATTGCTCTGGTGTTATTACCATTGAGCACTCTACTGACATTTGCTAAACGTTCAACGTTTTATTCTTTGTTTTATATATAGTGTTACACAATAGGCAAATATCACAGTAAATTCCAATAAATATATAGTTTTCTTTATCGTATAATTCTTTTTTTAAGTACGAATACAGGCAAATGGCTGGATAACGGATGCGAAACAAAGGACATGACGACACACATCGTCTGTACCTGCAATCACCTGACCAACTTTGCTATATTGATGGACGTGCATAAAGCTCACGCAATGGTTAGTTAAAATTTGATTTTTTTTTATCAGAAAAGAATTATTAGAATTATTAAGAAGCAATCAATTAACAAGTTATTCAGCACGCACTTAAAATATATTTATTTGATAAAATGTAAGGGTAGCCCTAATCTGCTCATTAATTGGTCATTGTTTTGGAATCGAGGCATTATATAATACTGTATTTTGTTTATTACTATCATTATTATCAAATATTATTTTAAAAACAGCAATTATTTACCCAAGTATTGCCTTCGATTTTCTCTGTTTCACTATTTAACGCATTGGTCCAATCAGGCCTGGCAACAATAATTTAATTTCGGACTATGAGTAGAGTTTTCCCGATATGTTTATATATATATATATATATTATTATTATTATTTCTGGTATATTTCATGAAACAAAACAAATTACATAGCAAGGTTACATTACTATAAAAAAAAAAAACCAAAGAAAAAGTAAGCAACTATGGATAGTTACCATACATAAATGGCTATTCAAGAAACAAAATGATTGATGATTCTTAATTCTACAAAATGCATAACATAAAAGAAAAATTCAGTATATAGGACTATCTACATTTATCTGCACTGCTAACTATTTTTGAATGTAATGTATTGTTCAATTTGTTTATGCTTCTCATATACTGATTTTAAGGGATTTATGTGCGGTTTTTGTCCATTAACTTTACAGTTATAAATGTATATAGTTTTGTAGTAAATATTAGTTTATTAATTGGATGATTATTTTTATAGTTGTCAATACCAAAACATATGCTTTCTTTATTTAAAATTAAATTTCTTTCAAACCTTTGTTTTATAACTATTTGTACTTGTTTCCACAGCATATTAATTACTTTGAATTCAAAAAACATGTGTATTAAAGTTTGTTCTTCTAAGCAAAATTCACAATTTGGTGATTCAACAATATATATCTTATGGAGAAAGGAATTAGTATAAATAATACGATGAATAAATCGAAACTGAAAGTTTTTAAGTTTTGTATCAATTGTACATTTATGTAGCGTTGTGAAGATCATGTCCCATTGTAGTTTAGTATTGTCCAGTTCTTTTTCCACCTGGACTCGATTCCATCCGGCACTGCAGTGTGTTTTTGAATTAAATGAGAATAGAGGTATTTACAGTTTCTTTCAATTTTCAGCACACTATTGATATTTTAATTTTCAATTATTACATTTGATGGATTTATATCTGTATTCTCAATTATTATTTGCTTCCAGTGCCTTGGAATTGAGTTTACAATTTGATGGTAAAAAAGGAAATTCGGTTTGAAATTATGTCTTTCTTCAAATTCTTTCAAATTACAAATTCGATTACTATTGGAAACAATGTCCTTAATATATTTGATATTGTTGTCCCACCAAATTTTATTTATAGTGATTTCTACGTTTTCAAAGCAGGAATTGTTCCATAGAGACTGTGATAGTATTTCTCTAACAGATTTCGTTTCTTAAAAAAAACACTCACTCCAAGCTAATAGAACGTCTTTATTGAAACCCTTGAAATGTTTAAGCATTGCGGACGATTTTGAAAAGTTACAATCAAATATGAAGTTGTTTCCTACTTTATCAAGGTCGCTTTGAAAAAAATATTTTCCATTTGCCACCGTTCTTTCCAAGATATCTTTTTACCCAACATGCTTTTAGAGCCTGACAGTAACTTTTGGCATTTTCAACCCTCCTGCTTCTAATTCATTGAACATAATTTTTCTTTTTATTTTATCGGGTTTTCCATTCCATACAAAATTTAACATTTTACTTTGTATCATTAAAGAAGTAATTCGGTGGGTCGGGTAAATTTGAAAAAAGAAATCTCATTATTTTACTTTTTCGTAATTTATCTTTAGACCAGAGGCTAAAGCAAACAAATCTAGAATGTCAATGATGGGTTTTATTGAGTTTGAATCTTTGATTTGTATGTTATTATAGGATTTTTAATTAGTAAGCCATGGGTAGGTTCAGAAAGTTCGAGGGGGTGGGGTCAGCTAACAACGTTCTAAGACGTAATATTGATATACGAACCACATGTACGTATAACCTAATTTCACTATCTCACAACGTTTGAACGTTCTTACAACGTTGTGTTAACATTATTTTGTGACATACCTAACCGCAACATTTGCGAAAGTTATAAGAACGTTTTGTGTTTGCTGGGAGCAAATGACTTCATTTACCTTCTCCTTTTGATAATTCTCCCAACTTTCCTATGTAGGCCTACACTCCATTGAAAGTTCTTTCGACCACTGTATATTCCTGAAATGGTATTTCTTTGAAATACAATGATATATGAACAATAGACAAAATGAACCATCAGAAAATCGTATACGACATGTATTCGAGGTTGGTGTTTGTATAAGAGTGTACCCATTTCATTTTGCTAGTTAGTGGGCCTGGTGACATGTGATCAGTGCGCCGAAATGACAACATTATATATTATATTTAAACGTTAGACTTTGAAAGAGAACATTATGTTGTTACCCAACATGTAGTTTTTTTTATATTTCTTCCCCAATAGATACCAGAACCACACGAGGATGCGCTAGGATACATCACCATCATAGGCTGTTCCATATCCATAGTGGCGCTGTTAGCTTGCATTTTTGTTTTTTCAATACTAAAGTAAGATACTATAGTTAAAGCCATGCTCCAGAGGAAATACATGCAAAAAAAAAAAGTTACTGCGTCCCCTTTTACCCCAGATTTTTAATTATTCAAAAATCTGTATCTCATTAACCGTTCCCAAGTCCTTCGTCAAACACCTTTTTGCCTTGTACAACATATACATTTTTTCCCTCTGGAGCCTGGCTTTTAACATATTATTTATATAATGTTTCAGACGTTTATTTTTTTATGAGATTTTTAAAATTATAAAGAAAATATGAACATAAATTGGAACCTTCCGTATTTTACATATGTGTGTGTACTTTTAAACATTTAATACGATTGAAAACCTTATTACTGTTAGTGCTTTTTTTTTTTTTTTTTTTATTCGTAATGTCACTTTTTGTTTTATATTCTAGGAGACTGAAAAGCCTGCGCACAACTATCCATCGCAATCTTTGTATCTCTCTGGCAGCGTCCCAGTTCATTTTTATTGTTGGGGTAGAGAGAACCGAGAATAAGGTGAGAAGCCACATCTTTTTTTTTTGTCTTTCGTGGGTGTAGCCCACCTTTATTCTCTCTTTTTCCCCCATTATTTTCATTTTTCCAATAACTCTTGTTCAAAGTACAATAGATATTATGCTCAGAATTTACTTAAAGGTAAAACAAAAAATAAAAATTTCACGTGTCTACCATGAAGTCTATCACATGAAATTTCTATAAACAATTATTATTTTGATACATATTTATTTATTAGTGCTTGATTTAACAATCATAACTTCGATATTAATTTCACTGTACCCTGGATTGATGTAATTGTTATGATGGTTCCTATCACATATTATAATGTCAGTGAATACATGTATTCCTATACAAAGTATTAAAATTCAGAAGTATAAAACATTTAATTGTTTGTTAATAAAATATAGGGTAAAATAAGGACATGCAATTATGTTTCTTAATAAAACACTCGATAACATAAAACTTCAAATTAATAAGCTTATAATATACACATGCATATACATATCAGTCTTGTATAGTAATAATAGTAATAATAATACTAATAATTTTGAGAAGGCATTTTTATAACGTTCTCAATACTTTACATTTTTGTCTAAGTATCATCCCTTCTTATTTAATGTGTTTTCATTAACCTTAAACTAAATCTTATTACAAAAACAACATCATCATTAAACCAATGTTTCGATACTTTGTCTTTTACATTTGACCATTTCACAAGCACATCAGTGTCTAACAAGTATTACCCCTTCCTCAACTATATAAAAAAGCGGGCCTCTTTTCAGTAGGCCAATGTTATACCATCAGAGTAGGCCTATGTTATACCATCAGAGTGTAATTAAGGAGCAATAGGTCTATTTGCGGTAAAATGGCGTTCTAATTGTTTGTTATATTGGCGTAAGGAGTAGAATAGACTAATCAGGAAGTAGGCCTAAGTGAAAAAAATTCAAATTCAATGTTCAAATGAAATAGTATAATAATTTCGTACTTTCGTGGCGCATGTCATTGTATTTATAAAGTACAATAGCTGTCAAACATTGTCTATTCGTATTCTCAGGTCGTCTGCTCCGTAATTGCAGGAGCTCTGCACTACAGTTTCTTGGTCTCGTTCATGTGGATGTGTCTTGAAGGAATCCACTTGTACGTCACACTTGTACGAGTGTTTAATGCTGGGGACCATGGAGTTCTTCAATACTACCTGGCAGCCTATGGTACGGAGTATTTCTCAAGAGTATCTTGTTTATAGTATGTCAGGAAAGATGCTGTGCCCTACCTGACGTGTTACCGTACTGAATATTCAGTATGTTCCCAAATACCTCAGGTAGCGCAAAACATCATTAATATTCAATTTCCTGACGAAACACATATAGAACAGCCTTGCAGTACCCGTTGTTACTTGGGGATCGGATAAACACTAAGCGCAAGCTCGGTGGTCTAGTGGTTTCAAAAACAAGGCTATAGTTATCTGGAGGTCGTGGGTTCGATTTCCATCCGAATCAATTGGCGAGATTTGTTTTATACTTATACCACTAAATTCCTAATATGAACTAGGGACGTCTAGGCAACGCAGCAGTATATAATTAACTGCTCACATTAAATAATCAACTCACATTAAAGTCGTGTCATGTGCTTTTGATCATCGCCATCATCATCATATTCATCATCATCATCATCATATTCATCATCATCATCATCATAATTACACATCTCAAATGTAACAAAATTTTAGTTTGATAATATAGGGTATATCCTTCACCATCATTATCATCCTCATCATAATCATCATTAAAGTGGAAATTTCTCCCTTTGTAGCACTCCCACTACTGGTTGTTGCGGTACTTGCTGGTAGTGTTCCTGAGGGCTACGGAACCGACAAGTAGTGAGTAGCAAAATTACTTGTTTAGTTTTTGGTAAGAATGTATACAATGTATGAGCGTGATCTATAAGCAATGGTGATAAATAAAATAGATGGTTGGTAGACATAAAGGCTCTTTGAATGTTGTGCTCTATAAATTGAAAACCATTAATTATATCAAATTGGAAAACAAAGGTAACGACACCAGTTTTGTTTCTTCCCCCATTTTTTTTTTCTAGCTGTTGGTTGTCTACCGAAAACAACTTCATCTTGGCATTCGCTGCTCCTGTTGCAGTTATAATACTGGTAATATACCGTACTTTGATGATAATAATAACAACAATAATATTATGTAGATCATTAGTAGAAGTAATACTAATAGCGCATTATGTTAAATATTGTCCATGGCATCATCATTAAATGAATTCTAATATTGTGAATTGAAAATTGCAGAATTGAATGGGCAGTAAAAATAAAAAAACAAAGAAGTTTATGGGATCTTTTCTGGAGAGGGCTTTCAGGCAAACTGCTCCTATTAATTTCGCAAGTTGATTGATTGAAAAAAAAATAATTTGTAGCTTTCCGAATAGGCCTAAAAGATAATCAAAATATGAGTTTGCACTAACATTTAATGCTCGCAGAGTAAAGTAGGATTACATAGATCAAACCTACTATCTGCACTGTGAAAGATACAGTATAAGTAAAAACGACATAAAACATTAAAAGATTTATATAAACAACATGTATTAAATGCGCTTAGTGAAGAAATTAAGGCAAGTTCAACATTAGTAAAACCATGCTTTTAGAGTTTTCTTTAAGGTAAACAAATTAGGCGAATCGCGAACTGAGAGACAAAGAATTCCATGACAAGGTCTTGAAAACAAAAGGCACACTGACCTGAAGTTTTTGTTTTGCCTCTACGAGACAGAACAGTGTTGGATCCAGAATTTTAAAATTGCAATTTATTTGCTTGGTTTTAATTGTAAAACTGTTTTCACATCCTCTGTCTATCAGTGATCAGAAATAAATTTTATCTATATAGTTTTAGGGGTTGGAACACAATACGTTATGCCTGATAATATATACCAGTCCAAATTACATATATAATGTTTTTTTAAATTTTTTTAAGTTAAATTTAGTAATATTGGTTGTCTCATTGAGGAAAGCATATGCCAGCAGTAAAGCAATGAAACAGGAGGCCACAAAAACACAACAACTCAGGTAATGCAGTAATTATTACAGTCATTCGTAGATACAGTAATAACTTTGCCGTATTGCTTTCAAAACCTACTTTCTGACTAACGTATGTTGTGATAACCTAACAAACAACAACTTCACAAATGTTATAATAACGTGTTTTCGAAGATATCAGTAACTAATATAAGCCAAGCAGTTTTTGAACACACTGTACTACATTATGAAATAATTAAACTATGCAACATTATGTTGTTTCTTCTTTAATCAGAACATGGGTAAAAGGGGCAATTACGCTGTTGTTTTTGCTTGGATCGACGTGGGCGACAGGACTCTTGTTCTTCAGCAGATCATCAGTGTTTGTGGCGTACATCTTTACCATCCTTAACTCACTACAGGTACAGTAAATAAATATAGGCCAAGGCCTAATATCTAAACATTATATATTTCAATGGCATACTTTAAACATATACATGTGCGTTTAATTAAGCTTATCTGTGGCCAGCCCTGTTTCTCTACTGTGGCGATGAACCTTCCCTATCATTCGACCTTAGGTCTACCCATCTTCTTGTTATCCTACTTCTAAGCATACATTTGAAGTCATAATAAGAAAAACAACCTCAAACGTTTAATCATACAACTGAATTTAAAACTATTAAACATTTTAGATACGGAGTAAATCCACTAATTTTTTTACTACAACAAATATTAAACTGATTACCAGTCAATTACTAATTATATTGTTGACCATTCTCAAGAGAGACCATTCGGTCGTCATTGACAACAATCAGCGCTGTATGTCAAACTTGATGGAGTATAAATGTTGACAGTCAGTGAACCGTAACTACCCCAATAACTCAAAAAAAAAAAAAAAAAAAAAAAAAAAAAAAAAAAAAAAAAACAACAACAGTAAGCTAACACCAAAGACAAAATCAAGAAAAATGGAATCCAGACATTCTGCATCATTTCAGCAGTAGATGTAAAGATAGAATGGTACCGTATTATGTACGCGTCTGTTAATCAGCGAAATATTTAATTTTTAATTTTTATCTATTACAAATATTTAGGCAGGATAACATATTATAGAGACGATATAATAACTCTGTTTTACTATAATGTGGTCCTGTAAAAATAGTATTCTATACAACTGAAGACTACCTAAAAACAAAGATATAAATAATTTACTAAAGACAAACTAAACAAAAACAATACAAAGAATAGGAAAATACAATTAATCATGGAAATATTATTTTTAAAGAATGTTACTATAACTAAATGGTAATTAGAGAAAGTGCTTCATATAATTTATTTTTGAGTTGTAATAGGAGTTTTTTGCCAAACATTAGCTCCAACGTATTTCAACGGACCATTCATTACGGAACATAAATATTTAAATTGGGAAATATTTCTATTTATAGATTCAGTTATTCTACTTCTTTTCGTGTTTTTACAGGGTTTTTTCATCTTTTTGTTCTACTGTTTTAACAATGATACGGTGAAAAAAGAAACAAAACGATGGCTATCGATGAAACGATGGGTTCCAATAAAAATTAGAGAGCTTCTGAAAGAAACACCGAAGACAACGAGCATGGGCAATACACTCTCGGTTAGAAAACATTATATTCAAGCTAATTTTTACTAAGATAATCAAATTTTATTGTAGTTAGACCATGCCCTTTTAAGAATGTTACATAATGTACATAGAGTGAAAATCTGTATTTAATTTAATAATAATAGTAGTACTGTAGTAATGATTTTTATTGTAATTAATGTATACAAAATAATTACTTTCTTTTAAAATTAATACAATTTTAATGTTTTAATTGAGGTTTTGATAGTGATGTTATTATTTCATATTTTTATTTAAGTAATCGGCCAGCTGCATTTATTTTAAAATTCTTAGTTTTCATTATTTCCCCTTGGTTTTAAATTTGCTAAATTGATAATAGTTTGTATCGATTTCTCTACAACAAAACAACAATTTGTAATGTTTTTTATATGTATTCAGAGCTCCTTTTATTTAGCGAACGATTTTTACAGTCTTTGTTTTACCTCTTGGTTTGCCGTTTATATATTTTTTGCTTTTCTGCTTTACTATATTTAAGTTTGAATAAACCACATAAATAAATAATTTTATTGTAAACACATAAATTGGCTTTGATTTTAATTGCGACTTTTTCCCTTTCGTATTTAATTTAGTCAAATGTCGACCAAATTGTGACAACAAAGGAAAAAGGTAAATGTAAACATTGTATAATATAGACGCTCGTCAAGACAATAATTATTCACAAATTAATGTCGATTGTCCTGTTTTTTCACAAAAGATCTAAAATTGTCATTTCCTAATACATTGCCGTCACATCTTTCTAAGCTGTAAACCTACAATATTATTTTAATTAGGGCCGAGATAAAATAAGTGCCAAATGGATTTTTGTTTTTTTCTGTAGTTTACTAAAAAAAAAATCCCCACAAAATTATGTGAAATCTTCTTTTGATTAATTTATTCCTTCCTGTTGTAAATTATTACTACAATATCTATAATTTGAAAATACAATTAATTTTTTTTACAGAACCTTCGGCTACCATAATGTGCAGGTACAGTGAGGAGTATACCATCTCTAGCCTCTTTAGTCCAGCCTCTATTGACATGATCGACTATTCGATGACATCATACACCAACCAGGATTACATCACGAGCTCTGGCAATGTGCCTCCACGAACTTAGATTAGTGTTCGCTCGACACTACTTGACATCACAATTAGATCAAAGGCAATCATTAATCTCTCAGTGTGCCAATTAAAATGAGCAACATCCTGAGCATCCTCATTTATATACGTACTGCAAATTACTGTAAATAAGAAATGAAATACATTATTAGTAAAACTTTAGATATATGCATATAAGGGGCGCTCATTTGAGATAATTTATATACATTTAATAGCAATCTTCGTAACACACTTCTTCAGTGATAAGAATGGAGGATTATTCGAGTTACACTAGTGATATTTAATGAAGTTGATTATTTAAAATGTTGTGAATTATATTCATAAAGACTAATTCATTTGGACAGTAGTGTTCACCACCAAATTTAGTCTATTAATTCGCTCGTGTGTAGTTGGATACTCGTTTATTTAATTATGTAACCATTTGAACCTTAATAAATGTAAATTTAACTTTAAGCTAAGAAACCGCAAACTTCTTAATTTTAATCAGTCCATCCTAAATCATACTTTTATATTTATATCAATATTATTGTTCTATGAATTTACTCTAAAATTTTGAACTTATATATGCATTGTTCTTTTGTAATCCTTGTGCAATATATAAAACCAAGTCGATTTTTTTTAATGTATCATACGTAATTTAGCTGCAAAGCTACAATGATAATATTTTTAAATAAAACGTGAAGCTTGACCCTGGAACTTATAAATATTATTGTATATAATAATATAAAGTAAGTTTCAGCAATCAAATATTTTCATATTTAAATTTGTAGGTTTACATTCTGTAGGTTTACTGATATTTTAACGAAATTGGTCACTTTACTTAATGAAAACCCGTGTATAGAATACAGTAGCCTGTAAAAATGACGGTGTCTGATTGGAAAAAATTCGTAGGATCTTTCATACCAAAGATCAAAAAGATCTTAGTAACATTTGATAATACAAGCTGAAACATGGACCTATTATTTGCTGTATTATTTATTCTGACAAGAATTATTAAAGGAGTCGAGAGGCTCGCAAGAACAATTAAAATTATGTATGTCATGTTTGAATCTGACCTGTAAGCAGCATTCATTACGGGGATGGAGACCAATGCAAACTAGTGGTGTCAAGAGAAAGAGCTCTAGTGATTTTGCGGTGGTGGAAGTCCACACGACCTCAGGCCCACCGTGGTTGGGGCTGAGGTGCCCGGGAAAAGCACTCTCATACCTTAAAAATGGTACAGGTACTATGTTCATATCAAAACAGTACAATAGAAAAATGTTTCTTAATACTATTTAAGAGAGTGCAATCGCACCGTTGCACCCACTGCATCCGCCCCAGATTTAGATGCGTACGCTCCACACCGTCGTCACCCTCTCCCCAAATCGAAAAAAAAGGTCCACATTTTAGTCGAAAATGTGCTGGATAAAAAGATTGTTATCTTTGTAATAAAGCTTAAAGGCGAATATCGACTCTTTACATTTTAACAAATACTCCATCGGAACCATTGAAACGTCGAACTCGCTCTTCCCCTTCACTCCGTCAGAAGTTTTAGATGACCTCCTATACAAAATTTTGTTCATCTGGTGCCATTATAAAATGTCATGTTCCTATCTGAGCACTGTTATGATTTATCTATTTGTTTATATAGCCGTCTTCGCTGTTTACTTACATTTGTATTCGCCAATGACGAAAACCTTCGAATCAAGTACTTTCGATCCTGTTTTATGTATTCGCCAACTGCAAGTTAAGGAAAAGTATACGATTTCTCCTAATACATGGGCAAATATTAAATCTCTTAAAATTATTAAACGTGTGAGAGTCCGTAAGGGTGGAAAATTGAGGAGTAAAAAGCGATTACATAGCCTTCAAACGAAGCCTTCTATCGCTCCCCTAGCATTAAGAGCTAAGATTGGTGTCGTCAACGTTCAATATATCCGTAATAAAACTGTGAAGTTTGTTGAATTCGTTATAGATAATACATTTGATGCAGTTTCAATTACCGATTCTTGGATTCGTCGGATGATACTGTTATTCTTTTTATCATACCGCATGACTTGGTAGACGGGGTGGGGGTGTTGCCTTTCTGTGCAAATATCCTGGGTGGAGAGAGACAACCGTAGATAAAGTGCCTTGCCCAAGGACACATGCGACTTACAGACGAACCCCAGACCCCAGTGTTGGGAGTCCAAACCACAACCTATGCGCCAACCACTATATATACTGTCTCTTATACACATCTAGATGTGTATAAGAGACAGATATATATGTATATACAATTATTATTATATATAGCCAAATTTTAAAAATTTGATTAAAAAATGAAAAACCCAACGCAATTTACTTCAACTTCGGAAGCTTATAACTCGGGATTGGAAGCTGAAATTTGGTTTATAGGTAGAGCTAATATATCTGATTAACTGGGATAAACTTAAGAAAAGATTTTAATTGTCCACATGATGATCCGTTGTTGAGAAACATAGGCGTATTTCTCTTTTATAGATCCGGTCCCAACTTTGAATATATGCCATTCAATTTTAATTGATTTGATCAGCCTGCGCTTGCATGTGGCTAGAGACAACTACACATAGATAATATATCTGTAATATGAGGGGTATATACAAAAAATTGTCAATATCTCGGAAACTACATCCTATAAGGCTAATTTTTTTTGTTGGTTTTTCATATAGTCGATCATTTTTATGGAGTTTCATCAAAATCTGAGACGGTCATACAGGAATTTTTTTCTGGTTGATTTATCATGGAATGACCCTACAATAGGTCAAAGGTCAGAATGTACCATTTCCGGTGAATATTTGAATATTTTTTTCATTAAGACGAATATAAACATGAATCTCCTGAACAATTTGCAATCAATTGTGAGTCTCTGTGATCAGTAGTTACCGAGATATGACAATACAAGATCAAAGATCAAACTTTCAAAAATCGCATTTCCCGCCATTTTTGGATAAAAAGTTGTACTACAACAAATAGGAACATATTGTGAACAATTTGAGACCAAAATCAAGTCTCTCAGACCAGTGGTTATCGCGATACAAGCGTCCAAATCAACAGGCGGCCATTTTGAAAAACGCTCCCAACCTGACTTTCCCCAATATCTGGGAGGTATATTGGAGCTATATTTTATCTAAATTTGTCCGTCTTGCCAAATACATCGAGAAAAAAAGGTATCCTAAAATTAGTCACGGATCTCATGAAAATGACTCTACTACATGTCTGGTCCCAGGTAGCAAGCAAACATGGGCCCCATATGGGAAATGCATGGGCCAAAAAGTGGGCCCCTACAGTTTGGCCTATACGGGATCAAGCTGCCTGTGCACCCTAAATCTATAAGGGTCCCATAAAGTTTGGATCAAATGCAAATGTGGGCCCTTTAAGGGATATATTTGGGTCAGGCTTACTGTGTACTACTAGACTTTAAAAAAAATTACGAACAAGGTTTTACTACTCTTTGGTCTTTAATCTGTCTTTCCAAAGATCCTTACCGTGAACTATAACAGTAAAATATAAAACAAGATAATTACACAACTGCAACCATAGATGATTTTCTCTAGAAAAATTATCATGGGTTTCCCACGCAACTCGAAATTAATAAACCGTAACAGAGTTTTCATTATCATAGCAATTATAGCATAGTCACTATATCTTTTATATTGTATTATTAATACAATAGAATATATTCCTATTATTAAAAATAAAATTATTGTATAGTACCTCATTTTTCTCGAAAAATAATCAGCAGTGCAATGTCTTCAAGATTTACAATCGTCTGATAACCTACAAATAATCATAAACCAGAGGATCCACTAATTAATCTTAAATAAAACAAAAAGACAGTAACTGCGAAAAGAGACGAGACATTTTGAGATTCAACGTTTCGATCTATTTGATCATTTTCAAGAATACTGTTGAGAAAATCTCACCCATCCATTTATGTTTACAATATTTACAGAAGTATAACAGAAAGCAAATAAAAACCGACCAATGATCATGATTGATAATCTAAAAATAATCATTGATAATTATCTACAATCAGATATGTTTGAGGTCTAAATATAAGTATTTGTATCCCAAAACCAATTATAATATCCATAAAAACATCAACACACAAGCACATTCATTCGACTCCTGGTCACCGAATCTCCTTACAAACTTTCTCTAAGCCTAGGCTATAACATGGCCACCTACGGCACGAAACGTGCTTCATAATACAGTCATAAATAACAAATAAGCAATAGTTTGTTAAGAAAAACATTGCAATAGTACAGTAATTAATTATAATTCACTCAAAATCATTAAATCAAACTAGGTAATTCCCATCTGGCGTCAAATCCGCAATATCGTTAATTTAACTGACGAAAATCAATAACTCGTCCTTTGGGAAACTATAAAAAAAAAACCACTATCCAAGTGAGGGCGCAATTCAAGAGATTATACATAGGTATAAACATATAAACATATAGCGCCGCCTCTAGGATGGAGGAAAATTGCTCCATTGTCATCATCGACGTTTCACTATATCGCGAACTGCTCTACCTATCTTTGTATCGATGTACTACAGGTATTTATTATTTTTGATACTAGCTTAACCACTGCTCCACCATGTGAGCGTTTCAGTCAGTTTTATGACAGAAAGTGGTTGGAGGTTAGAATTGCACATAGGCCTATATCCTATAGGTCTCTGTGGTCTAATGGGTATGATACTGCCTTTGACAGCGAGAGATTGCAGGTTCGAATTCCACCAGAGACACCTTTTTTAATTCAACTCAAAAAAGGAGCTTTTGTTGAAAAGCTATGCTTGATACGATTATAACAACATGTTCCTATTTGAGCACTGTTATTATTATTATTTACGTATCAGGATAATAGGTTAGTACATGCAGAATAAAGAAAAAAACAATAATATTTATCCCTATATATGCTCTATTTTAATTTCGACAGCTTATGTCCCGTTTGTAATACACAACACATACAAATTACCATTTCAACGACAACCACTGTGCCTAGGATATAGTGAGGCCTACACAACTTCTTCGTCGTCGGTCTTTTACGCACAGTACCGGATTTCCGCCTGACCTCGAAAAACTGCAATGCATTTGTGTTATACAAAGTAGGCATACAAACCAAAACTCCTCCATTTGGTACTATGGATTCACACGAGTCATACGCGATACCGTTCGGGGATTTTACAGATGTACTCCCAATTGGATGCGCTGGTTCTGGAACAGTGATTCACAAGGCATTGTGGACATCACAAAATAATCGGCAAGTTGCAATTAAGATCTACAATAAGCAACTTCACGATAAAGAGGTCAATATTCTCAGAAAACTTGATCACCCAAACATCATTAAATTCTTCGGGATTGTAAACCCTCCATTTTCCAGTGGGATTGTCATCGAATATGCTTCAGGGGGCGATCTTTTGAACTTCTTGGCATCTAAACGCAAAGAGAAAGTTGGAGTAAGGCTTCCACGAAGACAGTTTACCCACTGGTGCCTTGATATTGCTAGTGGCATTCAATACCTGCATGCGCGTCGTATTACCCACAAAGATATAAAATCACCTAACGTTCTTCTAAGTGATGATATTATTCATGAAAAAGGTGAAGAATCGTTAAAGCTTTTGAAAATATGCGACTTCGGCATCTCGAAAGAACTCACCAGTACAGAATCAGTAGTCTCTAGATTCGGCGGGTGTACTAAATCATGGGCAGCCCCCGAGGTCATTACGGACGATCGGGTGGTTTCTCAAAAATCAGATATTTACTCAGTATGCGTTGTTTTCTGGGAGCTGTGGACGTGTCAACAACCGTGGTCGGACCACTTGATTTCCGATATTGAAACCAAGGTGAAACGGGGAATTTTGCTCGAAATACCTAAAGACTTTCCAGAGTTGATGAAACCAATGATGTTGAAATGTTGGCAAATGGAGAGACACAGACGATGTAAAATTGACGATATAATTGCCTGCATTAAAAGTCTAATGTCTGAGTGGCAAATAAAAGGTAGGGTTTATATGGCTTTTATACTGAAATATGAACTTGATAAT